AAAGGAAAAGAAAAAAAAAAAAAAAAAAAAAAAAAAGGCGGGGGACCAATCTGTGGATAAGCATGTCTCTTCTAAACTAATAACAGGTTTTTCTGATTTACAGGATGCCTTCAGGGCCATGCACCTAGATCTTGATATTGTGAAGTTGTTCCTTAAGTCACTGCTCATTGGAGAGCTTGCCCCAGGAGAGCCCAGCCAGGAGAGAAACAAAAATGTAAGTGAGGTCTCAAGACCCAAATGTATGGATGGATGGGGACAAGGCACATTTTGAGGCCAATTTGCTATTTTCTGTGAGAAACCGGCTGTCATGCCTGGGTGTGTCCACAATAGAGTAAATTAGTGGATTCTAAACATTTCAAAACAATGTCATCCTCTTTAGATCCTCAGAGCTCTTAAACTTCTATTAGACAAAGGAATGGAATTTTGGGCCCTGCACCAAACAGTAATTCCATGTCTCTAAGTACCTACTTCATGCCAGGCAATTTATGCATGTAATTTTTGTTCAGTGACTGCTTGTAATTATGTGTTTTATGTCTACGTCTGTGTTCCACTATAAACTGCATTCCATAAGTGCAGAGAAGATGTCTGTCTTGCCTACCCCTGTGTCCTCAGGACCCGCACATGATCAGACATGTAGTAGAAGCTCCACAAATAGCTGTTGAGTGAGAGATGTAAATGTATACTAATGACAGCCCTTTTTACCTATGGGGAAATTATTATTCAGGGAGAATAAACTTCTGTCTGAAAGTCCCACCACTGGTGTATCAAAGAGCTGGGGCTCCAAATCACTTCTCTCTGGCCACAATCCCTTAAGTATTCTCAAGCACAGATGACATTCTTTCTTTAATATTTTGGCTACACAAAATACCACCTTCTAAAGGACAGGGTTTCTGTAAGACTGAAAATGTCCTGGGGTGGGGGGGGGGGGCGTTACACAAAGATTAAGAGGATTTTACTTAGTATTGAGCAACTCAAACTTTGTAATTTACTTTTTATAACATGCAACATTTATCTGATTCTTAATTCCTTTAAAATAATTTGTACAATGTACTGATCCATATGCCACTGTCATGCAGATAGAGTAAGGGTTTTATTCCCTCTTAGGGGGGGGGGGGGGGGGGCGTTACACAAAGATTAAGAGGATTTTACTTAGTATTGAGCAACTCAAACTTTGTAATTTACTTTTTATAACATGCAACATTTATCTGATTCTTAATTCCTTTAAAATAATTTGTACAATGTACTGATCCATATGCCACTGTCATGCAGATAGAGTAAGGGTTTTATTCCCTCTTATATTAGTCCATTTCTGTTGTTTATAACAGAAATATCTGGAACTGAGTAATCTATAAAGAAATGATTTATTGCTTACAGTTTCAGAAGCTAGGAAGTTCGAAGTTCAGGGAACACACCTGGTAAGAGCCATGTTGGGGGGTAGTGACTTTTCACAGCAAAGCACAGTGTCATGTGGTGGATGGCAGAAGCAGAGAGAGAGAGAGACTCTCACATGCTCTCCTTTTAAAACCAACAGAGCCACACCCTATGACCTATGACCACCATTAAACCTTTAATGAATTAATACATTTACTAGGGCACGGTCTTCACAGTCTAATCACCTCTTCAAGGCCCCACCTTTCAATTACCACAATAGGATTTCCCACCCTCTTAACATTGTCATAGTGGAGACCAAGCATCCGTGAGTTTGGAGAAACATCCAACCCACAGCACCTCTTTAAGAAATGGTGAAACAGACTCATGGAAGGAGCAGAGCTAATCTCAGGACACAGAACTGGTTATGAGACTAACGTGTAGGTTCACTCTTTAAGCCCATGTGCATCCCGTAAGGCTGTGTGTTAGGCAGCATATTGCTGTTTAACAGAGTGGGGTCTGAAGCTAAACAGACTGAGCTCACACCCCAGCCCTGCCATTCCTAAGTTGTATGGGTTTAGGCAGGTTCCCAAACCTCTCTGTGGCTCAATTTCTCTCCCCATGAAATAGCAACAACAGTAGTACCAACTTCATAAGAGCTATTGGGAAAATGACTGAAAGAAGTAAAGCCATTTAAAGTGCTTAGAATAGTGTCTGGAACATAGTAAATGCCTGATACATTTAAAATATTAAAATATTGTCATTATCATGAACTCAATGGTGATACTCGTAATTTCCAAGCCTCCAGATATCTTTCCATCATTTGAGTCACATGGTCCTGGGTTAAAAAGAGAAAATGATGCAAAGCTTAATTGTTTTTCCTAAAAATTTTCTGTAACAAAAAGAAAATCCCATTAACAGCTAAGGGCTATAAGATAATCGCTATCTATAAGTGTGTTGAGTTCTAGGGGTAAGAGTCTACTATAAATTGTTGTTAGTACATCTCTGTTGCTTCTCAGGTCACTTTATATGGAAAATATTAGTGTTTCAGCATGAAACTGTCAGGAGGTATGGTTTTAAGTCCGGCATCTGTCACCAACTTGCTAATGGTTTCAGACTCGTCACTGTTCTGGGCTTTGGTGACTCCCAACTCTGTACAATAAATGGATTGGAAAAGATGACCAGGCAGGGAGGCACCCTAGAGATGACCAGTTAATATTAAACAATTATTAAAATGATCTATGGCCACCAGAATTCCAAGGGTGATGGGGCATGGGAGAGATGAGCCTATCCAGACTTTTGCCAGGTCTTTTAAAAGTTGCATCATTGAATTTCAAAATGAGATTTTTTGGCTTCTAGAATCACTTTCATGGTTCTTTCTTTTTTACTTCCAGTTTCTCTTCTTTCTAACATCTGTACAATGCAGCTATTTTTTACATATACTGGTCACTTTCTCAGCTGTCCTGGGTTCAAATCCATTATTATCAAGAAGCCAAGAGATATTTCTACCCAACCCTTGCACTTCCTCAGTATGATGTAGCAAGCTTGTAAATCAATGCTAGTATTACACATGAACACACACTTACATGCACGTACTCGATACACTTCTACATGACCAGTCTAACCAGCACACACACGAATACCACTAGAGATCCTACCTTGTTTCTTGGGATCCCCTGAACCTCTCTCAGAAAATTAATCTTCAGAGGTAATCTAACTATACTGTTCTATATAATCACCTTCTTTTATGCAAGAGCCCTTCGTACACATTATAAACAGGTGATGACTTGGAAAGCACTTTGTAAACTATACCAGTAACTGCAATGACACAAATCCATACAGACAACCAAATTCCCCAAAGCATAACCAGAGTTCGGTCAACACCTGAAATAATACTGATGGTTTAAAAGGCAACTATTATTAGGCTTATGTATCTCACTACTGATGCCCCTCTTTTTCCCCCTCCCCCCTAAAAAACAAATTCTAAATTCTGTCACAGTTTGAGGGCAGTTTACAAGTCACTACTCATCTTCCTCTTCTCTAGGGGGGAAGAAAACAAAAACAGCATAACCTTTTTTAAAGGTTTCACTTGTTTGTTCTTTGTTTTTGTTTTTAATTCTGGCCAATTAAATGTATTCATATTAATAAAATAAATTTATCACTAAAGTAATAAAATAAATTATTAATTATATTCATTTGCGTTCCCTTTCCACCGAAGGCACTAATTCCTTCCTCGAATATTTATTTCACAGCCCCACTTGGTGGAAGATTTCCAAGAACTGCGAAGGACATTAGAGGCTATGAACATGTTCGATGCCAGCCTGGGTTTCTTCTTCCTTCATCTTGCCCAGATCTTGATTTTGGAAGTCCTGGCTTGGCTGATTCTGTGTTATTTTGGCAGTGGGTGGCCTGCTACAATATTCATTTCCTTTCTTCTCACAATTTCTCAGGTAAGCAGGTATCCTAAGGGCAGGCAGCAGCCTCACAGAAAGGCTCAGAGTGTTTGTCCTCTGTTTAGATCAGTGTCGGCTGCTGCCTGACACTTCTTGGCAAGCTGTTCATCAATATCTGGTATTTACCAACATGTTATCAAACCTCACGGGGCTGCAGCTCTCTCATATGTAAAATAAGGACAATATTGAATATGAAATTATTCTGAGAACTAAACAAGCTATTATGTAAAATGCCTAGCACAGTGTCCAGCATATGGTAAATGTTTAATTAAAGACATTTGGTCCTGTTCTCCCTGTTTTATCTCCACAATTAGGGACAGTAACTGAAGTTCTGTCCCTAGCCGTGTAACACTCATCTTTATCTTTCATTCATTAACCAACCAACGTTTATCAGTGTGTCAGACCACAAATTCTTCAAGGGCAGAGACACATATGAGAATAAGAGCACATGAGTTTCTTCATAAATGACAAACAGCAACTGGCACTTAGCAGGGTATTTAATAAATCTGTGTTAAATGAAGGATTAATCTCTGAACATAGCCTTCTATGAACACATTGCTGTTGTGGATACAAAAGGAAATTTACATGGTCCCTGCCCCTGGGAAAGGAGTCACCTAGTGGGGGAGATAGTCATTCAAACAGCTAAACATACTGCATGATAGAATGATGTTGTCAAGGACAGGAAAGAAGCATGTACTGTTGGAACAGAAAGGCGCACTTAAATCTCATTGGGACCATTGGGAAGGTTTTGTAGAGAATGAACAGCAATGTATTTCCAGATTCCAGAATTGTTTTAATTCCTTTTTTAAAAACTTTTTATTGAAACATATCAGTTGCACATATTTATGAGTTGTAGAGTTATATCTTAATACATGTGTACATTGTGTGATGATCCATTCAGGGCAATCAGCATATGCATCCTTGCAAAACCCAATCATTTCTTTGTGATGTGCATATTTGATCCCCTTTCTTCTAGTCTTTTGGTAACATGAAGTAGATCATCGTTAATTATAGATTCTTGGGTCGACCTTATTTATACCAATAGGACTTATTTTTCCTGTCTTGCTGTAATTTTGTGTCCATTAACCAGCCTCTCACCAGACACCCCTCCCACCTCTAGTAACTATAGTTCCTCCCTCTCCATTTGACAGTCC